ATATGAGCGCAATAAAGTCCACCGCTTACAGACGATCAAACGATGGACAAGGATGCACTTGCTGTGTCAACTCTATTGGTGACGAGCTGCCAGGCTCAGAAAACCATTCCACCATAAAATACACAGTCTGAGCTTCCAATATTCTCCCTCAGTGTACATTGTGCGAACTACTGATCTACACTGATCCTATAACGTTGATCAACATGTAATTCTAAATTATGGTTTCTGTACAAACAATCAATAATGAAAACCAAACGCCATGGACAGTGGAGCTCTACAATCAAAATTCTTTCAATGGAAGTTTTCGATACCTGTAACGTGTCCATTTATATTACTGCTTGCCACTCAGTTGAAAAATCACCTGATGGTGTTAACTGATGCAAGCGCAATGGGCACAAGCTGAGATTTTTAGGCGAGGAACCAGTCAGCTTCAAAACAGATGAGTCCGAAATATAAAACGGGAGAAAACCTAGGTTTGTGATGTAGCCTACCAAGAGCACAGCAGGATTCAGAGCGGCACCGCCATGAATCAGTGCGCGCGTAATTGCCTTTAATTCCTCCTAATAAACAAATAAAAAATAAATAACATTTAGTTACCCCTAACTCCATTTCGGGCAAAGTTTCATAGAATTAAATCAAATCTGAGACTCTCTGCGTGGAAGTAAGAGAACTATTTATTAATAGAATGCATTTCGTTGATGGATACAAGCAAAACGGAAGTGGTGTAGATAAGGTCGTCTTGGCTCTTCAAATTCTCGCCAAGAGACCGGGTTGAAAACCTGGCTGTGAATATGTTATGTCTGACTGCTGTCTCCGCTCCACTACCGGAAGAAGACTTATCGACAGCTTTATTGCAAGCAGGCGCATGCGTAGGAAGTGTAAAAAGGTCTCGCGCGATATATTCAGGGGCACTGTCTTACCTCAATCCAAGGCTGCCTGATCGGCGTTTCGTGGAGGGTCTCAGCAGGTTTCGGGATAATCTTCAGGAATCCCACCTTCTCAACAGAATTTTTTCTCAACCAACCGATGCACCCCGTTTTTTTGTAGTTTGCCTATGGTTTACTGCACCTCTAGTGTTGAGCAGCCACTTTGATATTGTGCTCCGTCTTGGGTCTATTTCTGGTGAGCATGTAAATGTGTATTGAAAACTGTCACAATCCAGCTGGAAGCTGAATCGTGCGGAAATGTTTGCTTCTTTTGGTTTTTGTGAGCTAAATACAATCGATGATCGGTTTCATGAATTGTGCAGCCTATGCTGCCTCACTCTGAGCATGTCCCAGACAAATGTATCGCGACAGTAGTCTGGAGCACTTCTTAGTGTCATGCAGTGCATGATCGATATTGACAGTCTGGTGTGCTCGGCGAGTATAAATCGTTGTATGTGTGGTTACTTGGCAAAATCGATCAGAGCGATTGTCAAAAACTCACCGAAGTTTAAGCGACCTAATTCTCAAGCGGATAAGTTTTAAAAACCTTGGAGAATGTGGCAGGCTTACATGTATAGAAGCACA